TGGAAAGTCAAAGGAACACAAGATGAAGATGAATATTGTTGAGACTAAACTCGATGCTGAGCTTCAATGGATGACGGAAGATTGAAAGGAAGAGCGAATGCACATGCATAATGGATGTGGCTAAATGAAGTCAGTGCATTTGATTGAGAGTTATCTTTCCTGAACTTTTAATCTCTATTTGTCTCCATAACGGGACGTAACTCATATTGAGTAAAGTCGGATTATTGATTCACTCCTATTGATCTTGAGTTACTTAACTGAACGTATGCAAATTGCCATTCACTTAGTTTGTTAATTCAATGTTATTCACATTATCATTTCTTTTTTCTCCACAGACATTTTTAGACAAAAATTTAACTATTTTTCTAAATTAAAATATATTAAAAATGAATTACATTGATATAAAAATTGGTGTATTAAAATGTATGCATACATTTGTCCTATTTCAGTTTTTTCCTCCTATTGGTCTGTACATATTTTCAACAATTTTTCGATTCCACACTTTTTAACCTTATAAAGTTCTGGGTATTTACATTTTCTGCATGATTGCCAATTTTTACACACAATGGTTGACTGGCAGAGGTGACCTACATTTTTCATTTTTGTTAGAAGTTAAGGACATTGGCAACGTTTTTGGTTTTCGTATAGAATTTGTCAAGATTTTCTAAACAGGTTTAATGGTACCAAACACATTCAACTCAAGCCCTCTCTACCTATCAAGCCAGCCTTACTTTGTAGATTTTGTCAAATTAATGTTTTTATAATTTTCAATGCATTTCCTATGTAAAATGTTAATTAAATGGGCGTATATTATTTTTAATCATACATTTTCTCTTAAACCCATTTTTTAAAGGTTTATACATAAAATAAATTGTTGAATCCTCATTTCCGATGACACGCATTTACACTGTACTTTGGCTGAAAATGCATATATTGAAACAAAACACAGAAATACCAGCACTGTTCTTTAATTTTGAGTTACTTACCTTAATATCTAATCAATATTTATAATGATCAAGAGACTGGTTGTTTGTTTCTATTCTATAATTTACTTTCTTTGAAACGAATTGTCATAAAATATTTTGCAAGTATTTATTAGTAACTTTTGATAACACATAACCTATAGAATCGTTTACATTCTAATCCGGTCTACCTAGCTATCATCACTACCAGCATAATTATGTAACATCTTTGCACTCCCCAGCATTCATGCACCTATTATAAATGACGGCCTGTTGACCCCTCAGCACAATGTAAACAAACTCATCGCTGCTTTTCTCTTATTGCTGAAGAGTTGAATATATCCGACAAAAAAACGCACGTGCTTTTGTTTACCTCTCAATCGGTAGCACATGCTTTATTTGTTTTTAGCGTAACACCAAACAGAAATTGATGCGGGAGAAAAAGTTCAAGGTACATGTATCTCATATCGGTTTACAAATCACTCTAAGTTTAATTCCTTAGTGGTCCCAGCAGTCAGAAAAGTCTCGGAGGTCATAACATAAATGTACATGTGGAAATAAAAAAAAATATGAATGAAGTTTCAGTAACTCCAACATCAAGTATTTACAATATCTATGTACATGTAACGGTGGTTTCTCATTTGTGTTCTTTTTTATTATCAATGATAAAATGTAGGGGAAAGGGCTTTCTCATATTCAATTATTCAACAGATTTGGCCAATTAATATTACACCAAATTTTACATATTACCTTATTTAGTTCACATTATTTATACCGCTTATCGTTCAGTCACAAAAAAATAAGGAACTGAACTAATTGGCTACATTTTTGGAAACAATTAAGCAGAAATAAACACTGATTTAATTTTTAAAAAATGAATGAGTTTCTTATCTTATTAACGGTGGAAAAAAGTGAAGTATAAAAAAAAATCTTGAATTGCTAAAAATCAGTTACGTTGTCTTGAATTTTATCACTGACAAAGCGATTTAAACATTGCAAGGGGCTTTATATAGTTGTAACGACAGACAATTGCTGTGATGTTTAAAACTTATGTTTTTTCCATGAACATTTACTTGATCATCAAGCAAAATATAATATCATTAAACTCCTGTAAAAAAATCAAGAACGTTTATTTAAGCCGAGTTGGGTTATTTACATCCTGAAGATCGGCATGAGTGACACTGCTTACCGGTATTATCATTGTTGTATAACAACATGACTCCCAAATAACACGAGCGGCCATTCTACCGATAATGCCAAAAGGCAAGTTATGATCCTTTTTAAAAGATTATGCATGTCTTTAAATGAAAAAAAGCAATGCAGTTTAAACGTGTATCCATCTCACAGGAAGAAACAAGACCTTTTAGTTAAAACTGAAAGGCGGCTTTCAGTAACTTTTCAGTGGCCATTCAGCCACATACATTTTAGTGACCTTTCAGTTGCCTTTCAGTCACTTTTCAGATACCTTTCAGTCACCATTCAGCGGACACATTTCCGTCAACTTTCAGTGGCCTTTCCATCAACTTTCAGTGACCTTTCCATCAACTTTCAGTGACCTTTCTGTCGTCTTTCAGTGACCTTTCCGTCGACTTTCAGTGACCTTTCCGCCACCTTTCAGTGATATTTAAGTCTCAATTTAGCAATTTTTTCACTAGCGAATTATTTTATCATCAGATATTTTTCCTTAACAAGGAAGCAATATTTTGAATAAAGATTTATTATTCAATCTTAATTGTGTTTTTTTTTATTTACTTATCCTGATCAAATTCGGGTACCTTGAAATATGTCTAAGTAATTATTATATTTTTATAAAATATTTGAGACTTATTCAAAATGATTTTTAATTTTCTAGTTACATTTATAAAACAAAAATTCTTCAAGTGATAAAAAATGATGATCCGATAACCGATTCAAAATTTAAATAAATGCATAAAACAGTGCTTATACGTGTATTTTTTCATGGAAATATATAGTTTTGATTGATGAGACAGAATTAATATTATTTAAACCATCTCTGGAAGATCACAAGTATTACTGATCAATTTCTTTTTTTAATTATGTCATTGTCAAAACTGCAGGATATATAGTTTTTGAAAGACATTATTTTGAATTCATTTTTAATGAAAGAAAAAGTGAGCTAGCTCACATACCCCACGTTTCCCCAAAACTTGACGGAGGAACACATAATGAAAGGCACAGTGCACTTTAAATACATAGTATAGATCAAAAGGGGCAATAATTGCAAAAAAATCTTCACATCAAAATGTCTTACATATGAGGACATTTAAATGTGCAATGAAGTTTCTAGATAAACAATCAAAATTTCTTGGCATTATACAAATCCAAACATTAATTTGAAGTGGTTGGGGGAGGGGAGGGGGTGAAAAAAAATTTGAATAATAGGCAAAACTCTTTGGGATAAAAGTAACTACATGTATGTACAACAGTTTAAGAGGAGTGGTGCTGACAAACTGTGATTCATCTCTATATTCAAAATAAGGCAAAAAGTCTAAGTTGGAAAGTGTGGAAATTCCCGGAAAAATAAAGCAATCGGAATTTCCTGGTAATATGCACATCTAAACATTATGTCCTAAATATCTGCAAAGTTTGACGAAATTCTGTGCAGTGGTTTATGAGGAGTTGCGCTGACAAAATGTTCATCCTATATTCAAGGTATGGCCAAATGCCTAAGTGAAAAAGTGCGGAAATTCCCGGAAAAAATATTGGAATCGGAATTTCCTGGTAATATGCACATCTACACATTCTGTCCTAAATACCTGCAAAGTTTGACGAAATTCTGTGCAGCGGTTTATGAAGAGTTGCGCTGACAAAAAAAGAGGACTGACTGACGGACTGACTGACTGACGGACGGGTCAAAAACATTATACCTCCAGCAACTAGTTGCGTGGGGTATAATTACAAGAATAAATAAATCGTTTAAACATGTCTCTTGTAGAAAAAAATATAGTAGATTTTACCTTTCTAAATGGTATTGATTTAATAAAATCATTCTAGTAAGTTTCTAGATAGAGAATTTACAACGATCTTAAATCTTTGACCCAGGAAAAGGTGCCCGTCTCTGATAATTGTCATCATCCCGATAGGAGATGTGTAATTAATTAGTCTGTCCCCAAAATCCGCGCAACTAACATAGAATATACAAAAGATATACAAGATATATACACATCGCAGCTCCTCGATACAACAGGTGAACTGATTGTTCTATCGATTTCTAAAAATTAAATGATTTTAAATCTTCAGTTCTCAACAATATGTCGTAGCGTAATCGATAAGATCGCGGACACCAAAGCAGGAGACCACGGTTCGATTCTTGGCATGGGAGCAATTTTTTTTTCTTGTATTATTTTTTTTCCCATTTTTTTTATTCGGAATTAGATACATTTAATGCTATTATACCAGGAAAAAGTGAAATAAATTTTTTATGTAAAAAAAAGCCGATTATTCAATAAAAAGATCCAACTGAATGATCACGGAAAGGTCACTGAAATGTATGTGCCATTCAGTCGACTGAATGGTAACTGAATGATCACGGAAAGGGTCTTTTCAGTGACCTTTCAGTGACCATTCAGTGGCCATTCAGCATTCATTTCATCCTGTATACACTTGTAAAAGTACACAAGTAATAAATTACATTCATATTTTGATACTTTCAACAATATTTTATCCTGGTACTTTTTGTAAATGTAACCTGTAGACAGTGTATTCTTTTTATAATCGATCAATGTTTCAAAAGACGAATAAATTTTGATCTGTCAATGTGGTAAAAATTTTTAACTCGAAATAATTCTTTTGGATGAATAGCTTATTCGTGGCCTAGGCATGGCAATAACAATCTTGTCAAAAACAAGTATCTTATGCATTTTTATCCATAAAAAATCGTTTGTTTTAACATCAAACGTGACTTTGTAATTCATTGCTATATTTTGTCAATTCACACTCTATGTTAAAAATCGATTTTGTCGAAAATCTTCATCACGCGCATGATGTATTGGGAGTTTTTAAAAGCACTCTGAGAAATTAAAATACATTGCTAACAAAATAAGATATGATATGTGGAACATAAGAATCAAATCCACACACTGTTAAAGTGTGTTGATCTTCTATGTCTCCGATAGATACATGAGAACAGGCCAAATTACAGACAATCAATTTGGCATCAGGACTGTTTGATGATTGTCGATAGAATTGAAATGTTTGTGCCGGATGTGGAGTTCCTAAAGTACCAAAAGAATCTGTGTAAATGATGAAAACATTACATTTCTTTTTATTTTTAATTGCGTACTTGAAGGGCAGAGAAGCATCAGCAATAACGTCACTCGTTGGACCTCTGAATTCCCTTATTTTATCAGCTACCACATCGATATCATCATCGGGTCTGATGGGCAAAGCTGCTGCTCTGTTGTTCGAGAAAACTATTGCATGGTAATTTTCTTCTGTTCTTATTGTCAGTGACAGCATAAATGCTGCAACGTCCAGTATTTGTAAAGCTGGAGATCCCACAACGGTAACACTTTTTTCTATCGATCTACCAATGTCCAATGCCACCAAAAATCTTTTCTTTGTAGGTTTGATATTATCGAAACATAAACACAATCCCTCTTTCAGTGCAGAGCAAATCTGTACGTTTACTGGCCATTGCAGTGATTTTGATCTGTTTTCACCTTTTTTATACTGATTGATTGCTAGTATGTAGGTGAATGGATGTACATTTTCTTTTGTTATTAGTTCCTTGTTCATCAGTTTGTCAAGTGCTAAGTATTCTTCAAAGGATGACCTCACCTCTGACGCGCCTTTTTCAAAGATTTTCAGCTTAGACATTTTCCCTTAATTTCGAATCAATGCAAGAATTGGCATGTGTCTCGCAAGAGCTAACCAAACTTCTCTATCGTTTAAAAAGCAGGTTTGAATCTGTTCCCTTACTAATCTATGTTCCAAGATAAGCCTCTTTACTTGAGCGACATCCTTTGTACGTTTGGCGGTCTCTATCGAAGAAAGTAGATCGCATACTTTTTTTCACAGTTGACGTCTGATCAGAATCCCGTTTTCTTTCATTCTTCATAAACGGGATAGAATCTGCATATTCTCTTCCTTTCATTGCAAGAATAACGAGATACTTCAAGTCTGGATCTTCCTCATCCTTGACTTTGAGATGTGCTAGGCGCATAACAGCTTTGTGTCGCCATCCATGTCTTTGGGGATATTTTGTTATGTGAAGTGCCAAACGTTTTAACTTGGTTTCTGAAGTTCCATAATTATGATACCAGTCACAGATTGCTTTCCGATGTGCTCTGCCCCAACCATTAGACAATAAAAACGAAACCATAATTTCTGCAAAAATGTGGGCCGTTTTCTTGTTACATACATACATTGAAACATAATATAGAACGGCTAGGAAGTAATATTTCTAGGTAGAAAAGTGATTCCGATAAATATTTTACGGGGTCACTTTTCTTCGTTAAACTGGAAAAGCATTGCAAATAAATGGATAAAGGTATCAACAGAAAAATATTTTATTAGGAAATGTACAAAATGTATAGAAATACGTTTAATTTTTAAAGTTGATAAAGATTCAGTTGAATACAACACGTTAACTACCATAACTACATGTGTCAAATAATAATTAACATTCAAGAATTTCTGGACATGTTTAATATATTTTATACGATATATGTACAGGTTTTTGTATTTTGTATCACATAGGCTTGTTGAAATGCCATATTTTATTTACACAAAAGTTCAGAGTATTGCATTATTTTAACATATATATATAATCATGTTCAACAAATACCAATAGAAAAACCCTATTACATCAATATAATAATAGAAAATGGCGATAAGATATGCCGTAAATATCAATATATGCTAAAGATATCCCAACCCAGAACGAGAAACATATTTTATCTTAAGTAATCTTAAGTATCTTAACTTATATCCATCATTTTTTTTACAGTAATGACAAATTAAGTATAACATGCACTCAATTTTGATAAGAGAAGCGAGATAAGGACAGACGCAATTAATATTTCTTTAGTACATGTGCTGAAAAGCAATATTTAAAGGAAAATCTAATATGACAGTAAATAGTTTTCTCGGTAAAAAGTAAAACCAACTGTTGAAAACAAAAAACAGTGACTGTCACAGAATGGTAACCAGTAATTTTCACATGAAACAAATTTTAACAAAAGAATAACTTTAATCATACCGGCTTTTTAAAGCATTGATTAAATATCTTATTAAACAATATCAAATTGCGTTGAAATAGAGTTTCACACAACATTGGAAAAGGGATCAGGAAACAGGCTACATGTATGCTTGTTTTCTCTTAACTTGAAAACATTGATATAAATGACATACGCGTAAACACTATAAGCAGCATAGATTATAAACAATATGCCGGTAATACATGTTATAGCAATTATTGAATACCGGTATTACATGTGATTTTCCTTCACTTTTGTTCCAAGTAAAATACGAAAATTTTCCAAGTAAAATAAGGAAATGAATAGAAAATTAACTTAACACTAATGTAACCTAAGCATATAATTGTCTGAGGGTAGATAAATTAAAACATTTTCTTACTAAAGTTTTCATTCATGTTTCTTTTCCAGAAAATGAAAATTAACTTTTAAAAAAAGAAGGTGTTAAACCATATGGAATTCGTTGTAAACTTAAGCACGAAGATGTTAACACTTAAATGGAAATTTAAAAAAATATCAATTAAATCAAACTGATGTTTATACTGTATACAGGGATAATTACACCTCCAATTTAGCGCCTTTTTTATTTCAATTCTTTATTTGCTCAAAACCAGATCACTGGTACATTTATATATATATACAAACAACAATTACAGTCAAGGGTCAAGAAATCGACAAGTATATAAAGAAGAAGGATGAGATAATCATATATCTAGTGACATATGAAACACATTTTCTTAATTTCGGTCAATGTGTCCACGTGCCAAAGCCATTGTAGTAAACAATTTTTAATTCCGAATTACTAAAAGTCAATATTTACATTTACCCACACTACCTAGATGTTTTTTTTCACGTTTTAAATGTTGTTTAAAGTTTGAAATGGAATACATCTAAAATTAACTGGTAATACCACTCCCAAAATGAAAATATTTAACTTGTAATGTTTGATTTTTGAAAAATTGAAAAAAAACTCGATTCACCCAAAAAATAAACCAGTAAATCATTATTTTTATTCCTTATGGATTTATTCCCATATTGGCTATTCTTAAAGTACCTGACGACCCAATGGAAATAATAAAAAACTAAATATCGAATCATTGCAGAAAGTTAGTTATTACTTGAAGTTTTTTTTTGTATATGTTGCTTAAAAAGTAAAAAAAAAAAAAAGAAAAAAGAAAGACAGAAAATAAGAAACTACAAAATTACAACAGTTTTAAATAAACATCGATAATGTACTACATGTAATATTAATATGATTATAATTTTTGCTTACTTTATAAAGGATATGAATTTAAAGCTCGATCTATGTATCTAAGCGTTATGTCATCAATTGCCGGGTTTTTATAACCTCCGTGTTATACCGTATAAGTTGAAATTTTAGTTAGACGCAAATTTAGCGATTTTTACCTAAATTCTGGTATTTTAATTTTAACGAGAAGTAATTTTAGCGATTCTAAAATGCTAAAAAAGAGGCTATTAGAAATAATACGCAATTAATTTTCAGCGATAACCAATTTTAGCGATGTCAGCACCCTCGCTAATAATGCCAAAATTAAATCCTCGCTAAAAATTCTACTTATACGGTATAAGTCTGAGAATGCACACAACAATTCTAATAATTAATCATTATTTAAGCTGATAAATATTTGTAAATAGTACATGTTGTTAAATTTCAGATTTTTGTTATTTCAAAATATTTCTTCAAAATTGTTTATTGGGATTAGTTCATTTTTGTCTCAATACCTTGGGTATTTATCAACCATTAACATATACCCTTAATTGTGCTAAAAATGAGTAATTTGGAATGTTTTTCCCCCTAAATGTATACAAACTAATGACTATATACTTTTTTTAAACAAACAAACATTTATCATTTACAGATCATATAAAAAAGATATGTAAGTAGTCAAATAAAATCTACATTTCCGCAAAATAATCGGTATATCTGTCCGTCTCTCTCTCTCTCTCTCTCTCTCTCTCTCTCTCTCTCTCTCTCTCTCTCTCTCTCTCTCTCTCTCTCTCTCAATATCTCTATACTGACCCTTTTCTTCAATATCATACCCGTTTCATGCTATAACGGTTTTTGAAAGAAAAAAAATTCCCATATAAATGGGGATAAAACATACACAAACATAAATGGCAATTGATCCTGATTATATTTGACTTCATGACTACATAATGAAAAAAAAGTATAAATAATTCTCACTGCCCATCTCCTGTGCCCTAATACCATCATACAAAGGAAAATATTGCGTGTTGAAAATGTCTCATACTATTGCTTAGAGATCATTTTCTGAACAAGATTTATTTGCAGTTAAATAAAAAGCTGATAAAAATTTACACGACTGATAGACAAAACGTCCTGCAGATCTGCAGAAAGATGACTTCGCTTAATATAAAATAATTCTTTATATTTTTTATATGTAATGAAACCTTTGTTATCTCTTCTATCAAGACTGATTTATCGAATGACATATTTACGGTGATCACGTAAAAACAATACATGATCAAAACAGAGTATTCTTCGAAAACTTAACTAGTTGATCTCGTTAAGGTCAAGAAATAGCTTCCCTGATAGTCTCCTATAAGTAGGAAGTATTTCGGATTTTTCAGCGTCAAAATTTTGCATTTGAACCATTTTTTTTTTACATTATTTTTATAATACTGATCACAAGAATATACGACTTTTTTATGCTGACATGTACTTCTGTTTATTTTATCATCATTATTCTATCATTTTAAATAATATGGCGAGATATTCATTTCTTCTATATTAATGAAAATGAAAGCAGTTTTTGTAATTTGAACCATTGTGATGGTGGAAAGACCTTAAAGTGTACACATTCAGTTTGTTACTCTGATAAAATAGTATAAAAAACATGTTTTTGTACATTATAAAAAATTAAATTCAAGATTTACAAGATTATGTGGCATAAAATAAAAAAAAAATGAATATATTAATATCTGATATGAACTATCAAATTTATCAAATTTTCCCCTACTAAAGGTTCTTTATGTAGACTATTTTCCTGGTTGAGAATGTTAATTTATCATGTTTCTTTAGTTACACTAAATTTGGGTTGCCCCTTGCATTTTCTGTGTCTCTTAAAAAAGGGCATGTGCTGTTTAGCCCTTTATGTTCAAAAATGGCATCATCTCCCAACTTCCAATCATCCTTCTCACAACCACATTGAAAACAAATTGTTGTGGAATCATAATCTATGAAAATAAAAGAAAAAATGTTCTACTTTTATTTCTTATAAAAAACTTTACTTGATAAAAACAAATAAGCATGTTCAATTTTAGGTGCCCATATGATAATGCCTAAGAAGAACAACTACCTGCATAGAAAAAGCCGGCAATTGCTAAGTTTTCAACTATTTTCTGTGGTGAGAACCCAGAAAAGGAGAGCAGCTGATACTTTTGCTTGTATATTCAAGGAATGCAGGTTTTTCTTCTTCAGGTTCTTTAGGAGTAAATCTCTTATCGTGGGTACTTGGAATGTATGGAGTATCTAATTTTGCAGAAGAATTTTTTTCAAATGGAGGAAATTTTTGTTTTTGTTAAAGCTTTATATTTGCATATCCACTGCTCTCTCCCACTATGAACATGCAGCCGGCAACTGCGATCATAGGACTATACACGATTCTTTTTCACAAGTTTTACAGAGTTATCGCGCTTTTTCACACGGCGGCGTTGTCGTCGGCCGCCATTACGGTGCTGATAATGTGATAAGAGTGACAGTAAGCACTACGAATAAATGGGTGACAAATACATTGTTTTCTTTGTTTTCCAAAGTCGGACATGCTGAGATACGACTGGAAAAGTATGTTATTATAATAAATAAATTTAACGACACGATATTCATATGTGTTTTTTTTAATCAAGTTTTCAATTTCATTTTATTGGTTAACCGCCCGAAGGTATCCGAAACCTTTTTATTTGAAGTTTAGTATATAATTTTATACACCATGTGCTGGTTTACTAATTAAAAACAATTATCAATAACAAATAAATTGAGACAAAATTAAAAAATAATAATTTTGTGTTTACCATTTTTTATTAAAAAATATGTCAGTCGAGAAAATCTAGACGACCGTCGTGTTATTTATCCAATTTTACCTTACGGATATTAATTTATTTAATACTCTATAATATTCTTAAAAAATAGATACTTTCTATTGTTCTTTTTCTGATTTCAATTACAATCCCCATTGGCCTATAATACAATCATGTATAGTAACAGCCCGCTTGCCGAGAAAATCATTTTACGCCCCCCCCCCCCCTTTTTTTTTAACATGACTTAGTTTCATGTATAACATTTATAACATTTGAGTAGGAAAAATTTATACAAAATCCTCATTTTACTTTAGAGTGTGCTGTAATATTAAACACGATTATCGTTTTTATGAAATGATTGGTTGTGTGAAATCATTTAGGAAAGAAAAAAACTTTAAAAAATGGAAAGTTAAGCGTTGCGTGAGCATTAAACTGACTTGCATGCTGAGATATACACATGTATAAGTAACTTAATACTTCAACCGCGTTTCACACAAAGTCCTGTACACATGAAGCTGTATATAAAATTAAACTGCACTGAAAAAGAAAGAAAAACGGATAAAATTGGAGTAAAAATTAGTTCTGGATTTATCGTTATACCGGTATAAATTAGGCGTCGGGAGGAATTTAACCGGAAATAGATGAGGAAATCAAGGCAGGGGAGCGTGATTCTTTAAATAAATCAATGACCCGCTTGATTAACCTGTAATAATATTGAAACCATGCACATCCCTAAGAAATTTAGTCAAAAATATTCACAATGACAGATGTAGATGTGTTGGGCCTTGAATAGATTGTGTCGTCATTTATAAATTTTGTTTAACGCCCATGGCACGCAGAAGTTTTCGTAAATGTGAAAAAAACGAGAAGGGGTAAGTCAACTCGATCGCCCCTCTCTAAAAACATCCTAGATAATCATTTGCCAATATCCCACGAGGACCCACGGATAATGAATAATTTAACACGTACAGCTTATAACTTGAACTAGAAAAATAATCATCGCAGAAATGAAAACAGGAATTACAAAAAGTTCCAGTCGTACATTTTTTCGTATTTGTATGCTCATATTTATTTTCCAAAATGGCTTTACTACGCACCTGTAATAATTTTAATTAATCGAGACTATCCCCGTCTCCCCCCTCAAACTGTGTAAGATATAATATTCTTATATAAGTTTTTACCTTTTAATCTTGCTACATGTAAAATTTATTTCAATTTAAAGAAAATCCAGCTTAATATTTATTAAACCGCAGAAATACGGATGAAATAACCAACTCTGCTAAAACAAATGAATAACAATCAATCGATCATTATTTATTTTAAAACATATAATTACACGAACAAAAGAAGAAAAAAAATAAGACAAAATTAAAGAATGAATCATTTAACTTTTACTTCATATGAACGCGTGTTTGTATAAGTATTACGCCAAAAGATTGATGAATAACGGAGAAAAGTTACTGCATTGAGTATGACCGAATTATGACGTTATCAGCACCTTCATGGCGTCAAGTCACGTGATCCAAACATGGCGGCGCCCATAAATAAGGTCAGAGAATAGTGTATAGACGCAACTGCTTCTGTTATGAGTGCAATTTGCTCTATCTCACTCGTGTAGAACAAGTTCTACTACACTTGGATAACGTGTTGAGAAGTATATATATGAAGTGTTTCATAAAAGCACTAAAAATAAGTTTTTAATAATATTTTTTGGAAAAAAAGGAATTCAGAACAATTTAAAATTGCTGTTTGATATCTTTAAAAATTTAATTTTGGTAAATGTATTTAATTGTAATATAAAACTTTTTAAAAATTGAATGGAACTACATATTTTTATTTTTTCGTATCATGCATATTTGTACAAAGAACAATAACTCTTCACACTTGGGTAATAACATTCAGAAAGAGATCTAGATGTATATCTTTTTCAAGAAAAAAAAAATAAGAAAAAATACCAAAAAAAAAAAAACAGAAAAGCATACTGGAGTAATAATCATTATAAACGCATTCTCATTTTTATCATAGTGTTAAATAACTTATTTTTGTCAGATGATTTCAATAACGTTGATCGATGACGTCACGACTGCATCAAAACAAAAATTAAGAGAATGTTATGACGGCGCTGCTTGTATCCAGATAACTTTGTTTGAGAGGGAAATACTTTATAAATTGTGATTTATTAGAGAAAAGGAGTATTGATCAGGTGTACTGATTTTAAAGCCGTATGGTTTTCTTTACTGAAGACAGAAGAAGCTGCGTCCTTATGTAAGTCAGGATTTCCTCTGATATTCTTGAAAACATCAAAGAATGCAAATATAAGTAATAAACAACGATTATTTAGTGAACATGGCGTTATGAATAGCAATAGCTCTGCTGGCATATTTTCCATGATGCGCTAGCGCGCATCATGGAATATGCCAGCAGAGCAATTGCTATTCATAACGCCATGTTCACTAAATAATGTTGTTTATTTCTTAAATATTCAAATCAATTTAAAAAATATTAACGAAAAAATACATCGAGAAATATCAGATGAAATGTTCCTTTCAATGGCAGTCGATATGCTTAGTTTAAATTCAACTATATCCTGGGAGTTGAGAACAACTTCCATAAAACTGCATATTATTTCAGTGGATACAGACTTACGTTGTTGTCCTGTTTTTGAAAAATAACCGGCGTGGAGTGGGTCATGGAAAGTATTCAATTCTTGATTTAAATCTTAAATTATTTCATAATTTTCATTTTAAGTCACTAAATTTATTAAAAATGCTGCAGCTGTTTTTAAATGAAAATCACACTAGCCAAGTTTTGATTTTCATGATTGTGTAAACAAATAACAAAATAAATACATTTTTTTCTTTTTTTTATTTATGTAGAGTTTCAATAATACGTAAATAACAAAAGAAAAAGGGTAAGGGATATATTGATACCCTCTTGCGTCAGCATGGTGTCCATGATTTCAAAAGAAGGAAAACATCTGGCTCAATTACTAGGTTTTTAAAGGTCCCTGTACTTATTATTTTTTTTTTATTACTTTTTTCTTGATTATACAAATAGCTCTTCTTGAAAGTGGCAGTGTTCGTCATTCGAACAAACCCATATTGCTTTGGTAGCTAAACACAGTTTCGTATAAAATCCAGGGTGCTTTTCCCAGAGAGAAGCATGCTGGGTAGGGATTTTCCTGCTATTTATAGGAGTCTAGATGAAAACTGCATCTTTTTTGTTTTTATTCGCATAAAGTAGAATCTTATCTTAATATTTAAAAAAAAAATGTGCATTCATTTTTAGAAAAAAAAAATTGTGAGACTTTTTCATAGGGGGAAATAACTCCCCAAACATCCGGTTTTCACATGTGCAGAATTGCATGAGTCAATTAGCAGGTAATGTAGCTCTTTCAAGAGGTGGAGAATGTACCCTGAAAGAACACTAAAAGAAAACCTTAGGACTTGTTCTGTGAAATGCATACAACTTATTTTGTCTTATTTTTTTCTGTTTTTGTTGAGCAGGGGGGTTACAAATGGATAGGTGCACTGAAAATGGTTGCATAAACAACCCAATATCCCCCATATTTCAGGTGTCAACTACCCCTTAGTAGTCATTTATGGATGTATTATAGTTGGATATTTACAAAATTCACAATTTTATCTTTCCATTGATATGCAGAAGTCTACGAGGGACGTTCAATAAATAATGTCATTAGCTCAATGACATACAACATAGTAGTCATATGACATAAAGCTTTACTTTCTCTCATTATTGAATCTTTATTGAATTAATTTAACAGTTTATGTGACCACTTTTCATCACATAGTTTTATCGTGAGAAGCTGGGAAACAAGGGCTATTCGAGACACTGCATTATAAATGAATGGTAAAGAATCATTAAACTAGAGTGAAAATAAAAGCTACATTAAAGCTGCTGTAAAACTTGTTAAAAATCCCAAAGAAATATACACTGAAATATGTGATATTTACAGCAACCGATGCCTGTTTTATAGACAAATAAGCAGGTTGATTTCAATGATAAAAAATTATATAATGGGCATCAAAAATGGGTACCCTCCTTGCCAACAAAAATTATAATAACTTACGTACTGTATGTTAAATTTCAACAAATAATATTTGATGTTGTATGATTGACTTTAAGACACATAGCAAATTTGATAGACATCATATCGGGAGTAGTTTACACTGTTTTTAAGAAACGTTTGACAGTAATTAAGCTTGGTACTCTAAGGTCACCCTGTATTTTGAAAAATGAGTGAAAACGACAGCGTGTACAAAAGTCTTAACAATTATTTTAAAATATCAGTAATTGTAGTAATCCACGTTTCTTTTATATTCAAACAGATATTGGAACATGAATCTATTGCTTAAAACCATTGAAACAAAATTAAACATAAGATGTACTTGATAGAAACGGCGATGGTCTGTCAAGAGCAAAGGTTTGCAAGAGCACAAAGACAGATTTATATGCAATTTTCTTAAATATTAGTGGTATTGTTGTTCAAATTCGTATTCGGGGAGACAGTTTAATATCTGGAGGTGTCTAGAAAGTACGGAAGCGTATTACTGCCACTTGAAAAAAAAATATTGTAAGTCGTACGTACGACATAATAAGTCGTACGTACGACATAGTAAGTCGTACGTACGACATAATAAGTCGTACGAACGAGATACTAAGTCGTACGTACGACATACTAAGTCGTACGTACGACATAATAAGTCGTACGAACGACATAATAAGTCGTACAAACGACATACTAAGTCGTACGTACGACATAATATTAAGTCGTACGAACGACATAATAAGTCGTACGTACGACATAATAAGTCGTACGAACGAGATAATAAGTCGTACGTACGAGATACTAAGTCGTACAAACGAGATACTATGTCGTACGTACGACATAGTAAGTCGTACGTACGACATAATAAGTCGTACAAACGAGATACTAAGTCGTACGTACGACATAATAAGTCGTACGTACGAGATACTAAGTCGTACGAACGAGATACTATGTCGTACGTACGAGATACTATGTCGTACATACGAGATACTATGTCGTACATACGAGATACTATGTCGTACGTACGACATAATAAGTCGTACGTACGAGATAATAAGTCGTACGTACGACATAATAAGTCGTACGTACGACATAATAAGTGGACGAACGAGATACTAAGTCGTACGTACGACATACTAAGTCGTACGAACGAGATAATATGTCGTACGTACGAGATACTCAGAACGTAGCTGCAGCTTTATGGTTTTGTATTTTAGTCTTTGATCATATATTAAATGCAAATAATAGGCAATCTACGGCGCAAGATTTGAACGCACTTTTGGGAAGAATTTTCACACTTTCCAGCATTGGTCTATCCCTAATTCTAAACACATTTTTTAACCAATATGTTTATTTTATCAACCTTCTAGCTCTTTATATTCGTTTCTACAGGCGATTAACTCGCTTGATTTGAATTGTCTGTTGGATTGCAGAAAATTCAAATCAAGCAAGTTTATCACCTCTGCCCGATTCGAACTTGGGATTTTACATTGTTTATTTCATATTTATCTGCAAAACTGTTTATTACAATTCATAAATTATAGACTAGGAAGGATAAAGATGTTATTCAATATGATATATTTATTCTACCCGTGACCCTGCATATTTTCAAAGCCTTATTAATTTCGGGTTTAAAATGGTATGATCAAGAGTAAATGGCTATTTAGGATATAGTCTAGAAAGTCTGAAAGAGTGTTTAAATGTAGAGAGAAATTATAAATTACTTTTATAACAAGTTGCGAGTGGTATAATGTCTTTGGCACGTCAGTTAGTCCGTCAGTCCTTTTTTTTTTATTTCTTTCTTTTTTTATAAGCATAATTATTCTTAAACAGCTGCATAAAATTTCATGAAAAATTGTAGATAATTAGGACACAATGTATATATATGCATATTCCTAAAACAGGCACGTGGCAATATTATTGTTTAAAATTTGCACTGAAAGGCCGGTTGCCCCTTCCCCCACTTTGTGATACAGTAAAGTGAAATAAGGGTAATGTACATGTAGTATTATATGCGGGAAAATTGTACTGAAAGAAGTTGGAACTTTAAAAAGACCCCCCCCCCTCCCCAAAATAATGTTTTCTTGTTAGGGCAATTTTTTACTTGTCAACTTTTTCAGGTAAGTTTTTTTTATCTGGCTGCCCCCTTTCCCCTTTCAAAAACGATGCTATGTCACTGCAAGAAATCTTAATTTCTTTATTTTTCTGGGTGAGCACTTTGTATGCGCAACCCTGCTTAAGAGGGCGAGGGGGGGGGGGGGTCGTGGCCATTTTAGACAATATTGCTCTCCTTTAGAAGAAGAGCTCCATATGAAAATGATCAAATTTAACAGCTGAAATAAATCAATTTTTTTCTGATCATATTATAGTTTACGGCTTATTTATTTGATAAAGAAACATTTCATGTATACAATGTATAATTATATTAATTTTAGGGTGGCAACTTTGCTTAAAGTCATTTAAAATCTAAATAGCATGCTTTCTGTTACGGCCCCGGGTCTTCAAGCTGATCATATACGTTAAACCTGTTAGAAAAATGTTATCTTCGCTTAATAGATAAATAATCTTCTTAAAATCAAATCTAGAAGATATTCTGTCCTTCACATCATGATCATTTACTACTTCTGCGATTTCATTTTAATTTATTCGTTTGGAAACTTTTCCGAGATTAAATGTATTAGATTATTCACGCATTTATTGTTTTTGTTTGTTTGTTGTTTTTTTGTTGTTGTTGTTGTTTTTTAGGGGTGGGGTGGATCAACCGCATGTCATTCATGTTTTGTGTTTTTTTCTTTTTTTTTGGGGGGGGGGGGGGGCGTTTGTGTGTGACTCCTTCATCGTGAGGAAGAATGAATAATTCTTGTCCTCAAACAATGAATGCTTACACTGTGGGATAATTTTTAGAGAATAATATTTCTGGTCTACATTCTCATAAATATCGTTTATCTCTAAAGAAAAATAAATCATTTATAGAGGAAAATGAAGTGAAATATACAAGTCTGTTTTTATAGAAGTAAACGTGTGCCACCAGGTGATTCGAACCAGGCCACAGTAAAAATGTTGAATGTCAGTCTCAAAACATCCGAGCTTTTCTAATTAAAAGGACATTAAACATAAATATAAACCATATATATAATTAAAGAAATATTTTTCATTTTCGGGATTTTTGTACTTTTCACCCACATCGGTACCCCCTGAAAAGCTTAATAAATTTATAATATTCTTTCGATAAAAACGTATCAAATTATCAGATTCTTTGAGGGGTGGAGGGGGGCTGCTTTGGATAGGACTTCTTTGTCAAAGTGTAAAATTGACTTTTTTTAAACTGTTAAATAGATTGAAGTTACATATGTATATGATATTTAGGTTGTTCCGTTTTAGTAATCAAAAGCACAACTACTGGCACGCCCGTCTATTCCAGTCTACGCGAAAGTTTAAAATTTTTACAGGACAAAATGTCTGGTAAAAATAAAATTTTTACCAGACCAAACAATTTCTTACCAGACCGACTTTTTTTTCACTTTAAATCCATTACATCATTATGATACTGAGATTGAGAGGGTGGGTGGGATGGGATTAATTCTCACTGTGAAATTTAACCTTAAATAAATTCAGAGTAAAATACACAAGTTAAATATTTATAATTTTCCTTTGTAAAAGGTATCTATTTATACAACTGCATGCAATTTTTTCTTCATATTTGACTTACACAACATACACTGTATCAAAGATTTTCTTAAATTTAATATGCTCTTTCAATGCATATTTATTTTTCCTGAAACAATTCATTATGGTTACTCAAGTTCAATGGTCATTTGAAAATAATTTCCAACCGAATCCTAACCGAATTTACGTATGAGCTATCTAAATATTTCCCCAACCAAATCTACGTATGAGCTATCTAAAGATTTCTAAGTGATGTAATCCTTGACAGAGGAAATTCGAATTAGAATAAAAACGATCATGACAGGGTTGTAATACATAAAAATTAATCAGGTATTACTGCTGAATTGGTCAAATAAAGGATATTTGTGGGGAATTTGACCATGTTTACCTCCTAATTTAGATTTATTTGGCCTTATTTTCTATCGGACATTTGGTCCTGTATACTGAAATTTTTTACCGACCCGACCTAAATTTTACCGGTAAAAACCGACGGTCCGGTGACTTTCGCATAGATTGCTATTCATGATATTATTAAGAAAACCGTATAACTACATATTATATCGTACATAAGTAACATAAACACATGGCTACAAGGGGTTTATGTTATCTCGTTCGTACGACTTAGTATCTCGTACGTACGACTTAGTATCTCGTTCGTACGACTTAGTATCTCGTACGTACGACTTAGTATCTCGTTCGTACGACTTATTATGTCGTACGTACGACATAGTATCTCGTTCGTACGACTTAGTATCTCGTACGTACGACTTATTATGTCGTACGTACGACTTATTATGTCGTACGTACGACATAGTATCTCGTTCGTACGACTTAGTATCTCGTACGTATGACTTATTATGTCGTACGTACGACTTATTATGTCGTACGTACGACATAGTATCTCGTTCGTACGACTTATTATGTCGTACGTACGACTTATTATGTCGTACGTACGACTTAGTATCTCGTTCGTACGACTTAGTATTTCGTTCGTACGACTTATTATGTCGTACGTACGACTTAGTATGTCGTACGTACGACATAGTATCTCGTTCGTACGATTTATGTCGTACGTACGACTTATTATGTCGTACGTTCGACTTATTATGTCGTACGTACGACTTATAATGTCGTACGTACGACTTAGTATCTCGTTCGTACGGCTTATTATGTCGTACGTACGACTTAGTATGTCGTACGTACGACATAGTATCTCGTTCGTACGACTTAGTATGTCGTACGTACGACTTATTATGTCGTACGTACGACTTAGTATGTCGTACGTACGACATAGTATCTCGTTCGTACGACTTAGTATCTCGTACGTACGACTTACTATGTCGTACGTACGACTTATTATGTCGTACGTACGACTTACAATATTTTTTTTTTCAAGTGGCAGCAATACGCTTTCGTAAGAAAGCAGTTCTTTTGCAAAGAAATCGAAAAGTTTATCAGAAATTGGATCCAGAATCAGGAATCCACTAGTTGAATTTCTTCATGACAGCGTTCAAACCTGCATGCCCTAAAGAGTAAAGGGGTTTTCGGGATAAACAGAAAGTTAATGTTTTTTCACATAAACAATATTTGCCAGATCTTTGACCTTTTGACTTGTTTCTATTTCCAAAGTTGAAAAAAACACCTTCCAGAACGAAAAAAACAAGTCTCGGAAATCATTGGATCTGCCATTTTGCAGTATACTAAGGGTCATACCCAAAAATGAGTTCTAAAAACAATCAGAAATTGGATAAAAAATGTTACGGACATGTGTTTGAATTAAAAGAGATTAATAAGTAAAATCATGAAGACTAAATCATTGAAAAGCGTCCTTTGCTTCTTTCTGAGACCCAATGACATTATTTATTGAACACCCCTCGTATGTAACAAGCCTCCATTTTTTTTATAGGGGCCAGTTTTGCTTGTCCCTCACCAAGTAACGTCCTGATAACGTCATACATAAAACTGTGTTTTGCACCCTTAAGGAGTAGCATTTGATGACATTTTCCACATTTATTTGCCTGTAAGTTCATAGAAAATTGCTTTATTTGTTGTAATTTATGTAGTAAACCATACAATATAATCTCAGGTTGACACTGTGGAAGGCATAATGCCTATTAGATACATGTTCCATAGAATTTATACATATGATAAGGATTCAGGGGCTAAAGTTGTTATTTTACATTATGACGCAACTGCATTGTGACATCAAAGTGTGACGTCATGTCAAAAATTGAAGCTTCGCAAGGTCATGACCTTCAATTTAATTGATCGCAAATGAGAATATGTACAGTGTATCTTCTGTATAATTATACATGTGTCAAAAACCTAATGAGTATCTAGTTAGGGTGACACCGTGCATATTTTTGAGGCAATCTTCTGATTTAGGACAGTGACTATTTCCAATTTATCTTTCCATTGATATGCAGAAGTCTATGTAACAAGCCTCCATTTTTTTATAGGGGCCAGTTTTGCTTGTCCCTCACCAAGTAACGTCCTGATAACGTCATACATAAAACTGTGTTTTGCACCCTTTTACAAAAAGGAATTTTATAAAACAAGCTTGACTGGAACTGATTTAATAAATTTATTGGTAGGGACGAAACATAAAAAAACTTAAGGATGGAAAACGACTTCTATAACATAAAAGCGGAATTGACAGTTCAAAAAGCTTTTTGCATAAGTGATACAAATATGATATTAGATTTTCTTTGTATTTATCTGTTGTTACGAGAAGGGGATACATTTCTTTTCTTGATTGATTAAATGATGGATATGGCAAATATACTGAATTGAGGCCTTAAATTGCGATGAAAAAGAACGCAGTGTTTCTTAGATAAATGCCATTTGGCCACGTTTATTTAGAGACACATCCGTCTCTTAATAAAAAGTCCAAGAAAAACGATAAAGTACAAATATAAATCGTACATGTATTTTTTTTTTTACATATATAGAGAACGCATCACATTACTTGAGAAAATTGTATCATCTACATTGTATTCCAATAGTAAATTAAAATAAACGTTCAAATGAAAAAAAAATGTGAAAAAGTTCGTTTACATAAATTCTACGAAAAGCTAGAATTGAAAGAGGTAGAAATACTCTTATGAAATTTATCATTTTGAAAGAATCAACTTTACATAATATTGTAGATTCTTAATATGAAATCAAAACATATTTGGCACTGAACGTACCTTTGGAATCAATCTCTTTGTGTGGATGCCTTTCCTTGTTACTAGAACTTTATCTTTTCTTCTTTGTTCCTTTGTTTCTTATAAATAACAAACCCTAAAACTGCTACAATAAATAGTATAACGGCTACTGTAGTTCCTAGTGCAAAACCTAAAGTAATTGCAGGACATCCGAATCCTGAGCAACCTTCAGTGCTGAAATATGTTATAGATAAATGCACATAAATAATACGCTAATTTATTGGAACATAAAGTTCACATGCTATGGATTATCAAAATGGCTATTGGAAAGTCCTGTAAGATCATCATACCTTGCAAGAGTCTTTGAAGTAGATTTGCTGGAAAGGGTTTTGATATACCCAGTTTGATAGGAACTGCCTTTCTTCAATTCGAAACATTCTCTATCTGGAATTAATTCTGGAATTAATATTTGAAAATACGTTTTTGGTTTTGTTCGCATAAGATCTACGTGTAAAGAAATCATTTTTGTAGAGATAAATGCATCTTAATACTTCTTAGTTTCAGAAAGCAATTTGCCCAGTACTCAAGGGGACATAGAAAGCAACGAAGACGTCTTCACAACTGATAACTTACATTTGAAAAGGTCAGTGGAGTTGTACTTAAATGGACATGACCGACAATTTCCTTTGTTGTGCTCCTGTACCATTTTTCCTCCAAAGTTGAATTCAGGGCATTTCCAGCCTAAATTATGTTGTAAAATAAAAAAAAATCAAATAGATTTTTTTTTGTGTGTTTTATTTTCATTCATTTTGTTCAATTATTCAAGAGTAGCCTATGAGGGGCAATATTTATAGCATTTGCTCTAGTGTCACGAAGTAAAAAGTTGATCCTTATGTCGCAGTTTGAACCTCATTGTAGAACGTGGAGATCAGTCCTTCGGATGAGACCTTATAAACTGAGGTCCCGTGTCGCAGTAGATAGCGGTACAAAAAGTCGTTCAATGCTTAATTGCTTAATTACTCTCAACCGGCCAATGGTAGCGCCTCCATGTGAGTGAAAAATTGTCGGGAGGGTCGTTAAACAAAATACAAAGAACAAACATTTATTCAAAATACAACATTTGTAATTAAGAATGTAACTACGATAAAAAAAGGAAGGAGATGCATCCAATAAATGTTATGATTTACAAAGACAATTGTCAAGACCTTGATATGATAACTCGTACAACACTTACATTACAAAATAAAATATATATATATCTAAGAAATATCCATCATTTGATATTTGTACCTTTTGTCTACGGTATATATCTTTTTTTTATAATATATGCTTTTAGTGTACTTCTGTTTTCAATCATATATCAGACAGGATTTAATGTTATTAACAGTCTGTTAAAGAAATGTAATACATGTATTTCTAAAAACAATTCAAATGATGCCGGAGGAGTGATTGACTTTCGACAATTCATGTTTATTGTACTTCTGTTTACCTATAATTGTAGTTCTAATTGCACACACTTCAACAGATCCATTTTGCCATGCATTGGGTATGCAATGATACACGAACAATTCAGGATTGGTACAGTTCTGTTTGTGTGAGAAACAATTGAACATCCTTTCTCTTTGAAGCCAGGCATCCTGATTAGCTGGACAATGGTTTACTGTTTTAACTGTGTTCAATGACGCAGGGCAACTTCTCTGTTTTGCAAAAAGAAAAAGATATGATACACAGAATTTAATACACAAATTTTCAAGAACCCGAATGAAATTTTCATTGGAAGAGAGAAAGAAAGAGGATTAAATATAGGAAATGCATTATGATTACTTTGAGTTTCATCTTTTTTTTTTGCATATAGTTTTTTTTTCTATACGAAGTTACCTCTCCTGATGTTGAGATGTTCAGGAGAGATACGTGGATAAGAAGACTGATGATCTTTGCTCTCAATATTGGGAAGTAATCCATGATTACCGTAGTTGCAAATATCTCTGAAATTGCAATCACAACTTACAGTAAAATTTGAAACTTGTCATTCATCCTCATTTACATTATAAATCTTGATAAGATCAAATAATGTTTATTAATAACAAATGTACATTCCTCATAATTTTAATCTATAAATTTATATAGTTACTTATTCTCAATTAAATTTCTTTCACATCTTGCTTCATTACGTTATACATGTATACTGCTTAACTGTCTTTGCTCTCTGATATTTATTTTTATCACCAATGAGTAGTAATCTAATTTAAAAGCAAACATTTTGCAACATATAATCCATCAAGTCTTTAACTGCGACATACGTAAGATTCTATACTTTACAAATATTTCAATCTTAAAGTATTTTTCAATATAACATTATTTATTTGATCATACAATGTATTTGAAAGTTAATTTATTTTACAAGGATTATCTGATAATAATTTGAATCTAGTAAATATCGATTAACTTCTGCAAGCATTGGATAAAATGGATAGATATAATCGTTACTTTTTATAATGAATACCAATCTAGCAAGTTAAAGTTTCTTTATATGCAAGTGCACAACCTGTATATAATGCTTAAACATGAATTGCTATTTCAGTTATGAGGATATCTAAATTTGTTATTTGGTATAAAATAGAATAATCAAATTATAATCACATAAAACTTCCGGTAAGACTTTATTATCATATTTCTAACTGATTGGGTGCTTTATTTTAACAATGAAAACATTAGTTGCATGTTGAGTAGAGCTTTATGTTTGTGGTAAAATGCTTCTTCTATACAGCATACATCAAATTCGCTCAGATCTATGTATTGCGTTTTACTTTTAATCTGATCACTCTTAGGACTAGGGCTTTTGCAACAAGCATTAGAAAATTGAAGCATTTATTGCCAGTATTTCAAATTCATTAAACTGACGATATAAAATCAAAACATAACATTCTTTTGTAAAATAAAAAAAAAGTTTTCATAGCAAATAGCAACAGTCAAAACAATGTAACCAATAAACATTTTGAAGTAGAAAATAAATGCTTTCATATTTAGATTCAAGAGGATTGTAGTCTTACTTGTTTTGCCCGAATTCTTTTGATAAGATTATTAATTGCCTTGCATACCCAAATCAAATACACGTCCAAATGTATTGAAACGTTCTATCTGGGAAAACCATTGCAAACCGAAAGCAGAAGTCGCAAATGTACATGAGCAACTCTGAGGCAAATAGTTAAAAAAATATAACTGAAAATATGTTTTTACAGTGCTCCTATCCTATCCTTTCGTGAATACACAATCCTATTCTGTGAATTCAATCCGTTTCTGTCCTGCTCTCATTCTGTACCCAGTGTTGTCGTTCCTTTCTGTTCTCACAGGCTTGGTGTAAAATGCGGAGGATGCAGTCTCCAAAAAGTTACATTATCCAAACAATTTTTAAAATATAATTCCTTTGAAGTTGACTAAATAAAACTCAATTATATCCCCCAAGTTTATTTTGTGGTGATTATTTGACAATATCTGATGACATTTGTTTATAAATTCCACAAAATCAGACACAAAGTAACAGTAACAGTGAAAAAATGATAATGGCCATTACATTTCAACGAGGAAAACAGCTCTGCTTATTATTTAATTCTTGAAGATAACAGAGACTAAATGAAACAGAATAGCAACAAAATCAAAACAAAACGAGACCTAAAGTGACCTTTAAATCATATTTTAAAAAAATGAGTGGCAATCAGCTTGTGCTTTTGATTAAAATTTTTGTTATGCTGTAAAGCAGATACTACATGTAAGTGAATTGAAACTTCTGTCTGATTTATGGTTCATGCTACTATAAGTATAGCAAAGAGTTAACTGCTAAGGGTTAGATCACCTATACTTCTAGGGAAAACTAAAAAAAACATATACATTAGTGTAAAGCACATTTTTGCTAAATTTCACATTCAGCTGATATTTTATTGTGTCTTTTCCTGTGTACACATACCCAAGGTTTTGCAGATTTTATAGCAATGTGAGATATGCTTTCTGATTGGTGATAATCTGCAGACAGTGATCTGCGATGTGTAATGGAAGACATTATTATACGCAGTAAAATTTTTAGGACATATCTAAATTTAGTAATTTATTCTGACAGGCATTTTTTTTATCAGTTATGGAAAGCTCTACAAGCAACCCAGTTTAATTCAGTTTCTAAAATGATTGAAAGATGAAACAGGGAATTGTATTAAAATTGACATAAGAGGCTGCACCCCTTGCACTATCTGACCCTCAATTTTGAAGATTCCATCCACCACATTTTACAGCAAGCCCGCTCCAACATCACCTCTGTCAATGTTGGTTGAACAAATTCTAAACGGTGGAAATATGAAGATTAAAAAGAAATTAATCATTGTAATTATCGATGAAGATGATAAATCATCATTTATTTTTTAATCTTTAATTCCTCAAAACGACATATTTTCAAAGTTTTAAGGGAACTATTTTGCGGAGTAAAAATTAAAATTTTAATTAAAAAATACTTTTAAGGTGTAATGAATTAAAATAAATATTTTTTTCTGATAAGAAATATGAATAAAAACAATTATTAATACAACTTTTAATCTTTTACATTTTATCTAAGAATCTTGTAAAACAAAGGTTTGACAGAGGTGTATGTGCAAGCGTAGCAACACGAAACATTAAAATGATAATGTTCATTCTTTTTGCATTTGAATGAATTTGACAAAATAAAAGAAAAAAATATTACCATGACATAACATTTTGGAATAACTATGCCTTTTTATGGTGAAAAAAACGCGATTGACATCCATTAATTCTTGATATCCCGTATTATTTAATTGCAAGTAACAAGTTCAAAAGGAAAAGAAAAAGATAGTTACCAAACAAAAAATTGCACTGATATAAGGAACAAATAAATAAAATGACTAAATAAATTATAGCTGGTTTTCAGACAAAAATAAAAATAAAAAATATTATCAACCTTTATTGGTCAAACTTTTACACATTAAGAACGATCAAGAGACTTTCCATCATTTTGTTTTTTAATTTATAAACAAAAAAGGTGATTGAAATTACAAAAGAAGGGAGAAATTCTTTAAAAACGTTAAAATTAACCAGACTTAAAAATTTATTTGTAGAACAAATTTTATGCTTTTTATCAGACGAACAATGTTAAAAACCTTTCCTCGGGAAGGTACGCTGAATAAATGTTCCCACTGAAAACACAATTTCTCTATACATTTTGAATACCTGTAATGGCAATTGTAGAATTTGTAGATATGTTTTTCATGTAAAATATAAGCAAAATATAACACCGCCATTCCTAACCTGCAGAGAAACATGAGAAATGACATGATATAGATCTAACTACCCCTACATGTACATTAGATTTTATACATACCTTTTAGATCTACAAAAGGAGGCAAGTGAAGGCCATGAACTGAGATAATAAAAAAATGAAATTTAGTCTTATAATATCTTGAATTTTATTTTTTAATGGTTCAACAATATTCAATTGAATTGTTTCGATACAAAATTGTTTTATATTCATTTTTCAAAGTTATTATTGTTTTAAGGTCCATGATCAGTTCATTTGTTTGCGTGCATTTATTATACATGTAAAACCATGCAACATTCTTAACATGTTGCTGAATAAAAATAAAGTTGTTCAAAATGATGAAATTTCTTATTTCTATTCAGTTTGTTTTCAGTTTATGGTCAATTAAATGTACTAGTGTATTTCACTAACCATATTTTTCTGGGTGAGAATTAAATCAAATTATATAAAACTAAAAAATAAAAAATTAAACTTAATAGTCATTATTCATAGTCCGATATATTTTACAGCAATAAATTGTGTAGTGAGCAAACACATTTTGTTTGGATCTAACAACACACATGTACAGAATAGCCACAGATGCAGTATTTCAAACTTATTTTCATTAAATCTTGTTTTTGACCTTGGAATTTAATCTTGACTTATTCAGGGTATGAATAAGGAAAAGAATCCTCGACCAAGTTCACAATATAAATTCAGGGTAATTTCTTCCTGCAAAATATGTTTATGTAAATATATTTAACTCGAACAATAGTGTTCCTGTCTGAAGCAAATTCATCGAAATGAAAAATATAATCAATGTGAAATATTTTCTTTCTTTATTCATTAACATGGCGTTATGAATAGCATTTGCTTTTCTCTTCATGGAAAATATGAGAGCAGTTGTTCTTCATAATGCCATGTACACTGAATAATCGTTGTTTATTACTATATTTGCATTCTTTGATTTTTTTAAAGAATATCAGAGGAAATCCACTTACATGAGGATTTCAGTAATGAAAAACATACGGCTTTAAAATCAGCACCTGATCAATGATCCTTTACCTAATAAATCACAAACAATTTATAAAGTATTCCCCTCAAACAGTTATCTGGATACAAGCAGCGCCGTCATCACATTCTCTTAATTTTTGTTTTGATGCAGTTGTGGCCTCATCAACGTTATTGAAACCCTCTGACAAAAATCAATAATTTAACACTGTGATGAAAAATGAAGATGCTTTTATAAAGATTATTATTCCAGAATGCTTTTCTATGATTTTTTTTTTAGCTGTTCATATTTATTTTTGATAGCTGAAATCATTCTTGAAGTAGAAAATTTCCTCTTTCTGAGTGTTATTACCCAAGTGTGAAGAGTTATCTTTCTTTGTACAAATATATATGATATGAAAAAATAAAAATATGGCAGTTATCTACAATTTTAAAAAGTTTTATTATACAATTAAATACAATGACCAAAATTGAATTTTTTAAGATATAAATCAGCAATTTTAAATATTCTGAATTTCTTTTTTTTTAAAAGAATATTATTAAAAACTTATTTTTATTCCTTTTATGAAACATTTCATATATATACTTCTCAGCACGATATATCATTGTAGTAGAATTTGTTCTACACGAAAGTGATAGAGCAATTGCAATCATATCAGAAGCAATTGCGTCTATAGTCCTATAAACGCAGTTGATGACTATATGTTCATAGTGGGAGAGAGCAGTGGATATGCAAATATAACATATTAGTTTAGCGATATCAAAAAGTGTTGATATAACATAGCCCAGTCACTACACAGTATAAATCAATTATTATACAGGATAAACCTTAAAAAAATTCAAAATAAAGGACAACATAGAGTAACAACCGAATCTGGCCCATTATTTGATGTAAAAAAATCATAAAAGTGGTAGAATTTTGATAGTTTTTTTGTTAAAAACTTTAATTGATGATTGTTTTAAAAGCAACACTTATTTGGATTTAGAGTCTACATGGAAGTCACAATACTTTGCAGAAGTAGGACATTTTCACGAATTTCCTCAATTCTGGTGGAAGTCCATCATATTTTAGATACTTTTTTTCTTTGGAAAACAGAGAGAACAAGCTTGTCTATCTGTGATTTTTACATATAAACTACATTTATACTTTTGTTACTAGAAAATGAATACATAAATGTGGTAGATAAGTAAGCTTGTGGTCTATTTTTTTTACGAAACGAAGTGTGCTGTAAAATCGATGAAACTTTGATTTTAAATGAGAAAACATACTGAAAGGAAAAAGAAGCGCAGGATAGCATAATGTTCAAAAAAATTTTGACCACATGACCGAAAATTACGAAAATTGGTCAGAAGAGAAATTTAGTAACTGTGCACCAAAATCACTATTCAGAATTACTCAACCGTAAAATTTATGACGTCACGTAGGGAAAACGCTAAAAGGCCCAATACACGTGCAATTTGATAAGGACGAGTTTGTCAACAAATCTTGTTGCATTATTTGATGCATATTAGGTATGCACATCGTTTTCAATATTTTTTCAATATTTGGAGACTAAATTTCTTGCAATCTTGGCACAGTTTATGGAAGTTCAATGGGGCCTTGTTTTCGAATTGCCTAATTAATGAAAAGGCAACAACGGTTTACTAAGAAGTTTCATGTAAATTCTCCACCATAAAACTTGTTACTCGATGTCAGAGAAGGTCTGTAATAGATTTCAATCAACAGTGACGATGACGTTAATGCGAAACAGAGCCATGTTATGTGCGGGTTATTCGTCCTGCCATCTCTTAAATCGCCATCTTACTACCACTAAAACAGTCATTTATACAGTAGACGATTATAATCATTACATTCATACGAAATTTAAAAGAAAACAATTTCGCAATTTGTTTTTTTTAACCAGTCAACTTACTGTTGAATTCCTCTCACAAGCGCAAGCGCACGCCGTTCAACTTATTTTTTGCGCGATTAACCATGCCAAATATAGCCAGGGTTTGAAAGATAAAACTCTGATGAAAGTCCATGC